AGGTTTCCGACGTTCCCGACCATTGCGCGCCCACCCATATAATCCACGGTCCACACGATCCAGGCCGTAATTCATAAAAAAAAAACAGTTTTGAAAGACAGACGACAGTACAGATAATATTATTATCATTATAAATTTGTTGCTGACAAACAATCTGACGTAAGTTCGCGTCACCATACTACATTAACATACCTACGGGCTACAATTCACATCATAATATATAAAACAAGAAGTATTAAAATTATATTCATCATCGTCGTATTATATATATTATTATTTGCACAAACTGGTGTAATTGTCTGGACGTGTGTGATGATGATTCGGGAAACTGCAGTTTGCAGAAAAAACCGTTTCTGTGTCGGTTTTGATCAGCCGAATTGAGTAATGATAACATGTCGAGTAATGTCAAATTAAAAAAAATTAAGATGTAATTTCGCTAAATAAACGATAAATATCCATAACAAAGTATGTGCGGTCGGTTCGTATTCTGGTTTTTTAGTACCGCGGGCGTCGTAACTCGTAGGTATTTCAGTGATGCAAATGATTAATACATTATGTCATTATATACTTAAAATGAGAAGGCAAGAGGGCCGTGACGCATTGCCACGTTCGATGAAACACGGAAAACGTGGTTTTCGATCATAATAATATTATATCGTCATCACGCACGAGATAGGTACCTACGGAGCTTGGAAACCCGACCGGCTACACTCACAGTGTCACGATACACACCCACGAGACCGTGAATCAATACCGCCGTCGATGAGTCGTAATAAAGTGTATAAAAAACTAATACGGTTAACCTAAAAGAGAAAAAACGAGTCATTCGGACATTCGGCGTTTTGGTTGAAATGATAATAATAATAAAAAACCCGACCTAGCTGTGATCGGATATATTAGTACATAGTACGACATAACGGGTGTCGGTATAACGCGTCATATTAATAATAATAATAATATTACCAATCGGTAAATCCATCAGCATTATAATATTATCGTCGCGTGTATGAATACAATAATATTGAAATAATAGTTATAACTATCACTGTCGAAAACGGCCGTACCTATATACATATTATATTTTTATTTGTCTATTTGTTTGGTACTTACTAGACGCCAGACCATAGGCGCAATTTGGGCTAAATTTATGGGGGTGCTAGATTTATGTGGACCAAAGTAACTCGTGGGGGCTTCGCCCCCCCCACCCCCCTCATAACACCATTCATGCATTCATAATACTACCTGATTGAAAAATAAATATATAATACAGGTAAATACGTTTTTTACTTTCATTTGAATATTATAATAAAGATATATGCCTTTGAGACATAGCAAAATTATTTATTATTTCATTTAATAAATATCAAAACTTACTTCTTGGTGTTTATCATTATCATTTTTTGACTTTTTTTCAAAATTGAAAATACTAAAAATATTTTTAGTATTTTCCAGAATAAAATTTAAAAACAATAACAACTTGAGTAGGTAATTAAAATAAAATAAAATATAATTTAAATTAAATTAAATATAGGAAGTTAATGAGGATAAACAATAAAACACGTTACATGTACGTCGCACAGTCGCACAGACTTAACGATTCGAAAAATACGAGTGAAATATTATTATTATTATATAAGTCAAATCTTAGAAATTAATTTATCCTGTTGTCTATGACATAATACGTGTATAACCAATAACAATTAAATGATGCTGTTGAAAATTTGGGGGTGCTAATATGAATTTTGGGGGTGCTAAGCACCCCCAAGCACCCCCCAAATTGCGCCTATGCGCCAGACGGACAAGGCGCTGTTACAGATAATAAGAATCATATTACAATCATTAGTGCAATAGACATGATATCGAAATACAATAGAATAGTAATGTTATAAAATATAATATACACGAGCTTTATTATTCTGAGTTACAAATTAGAAAATTACAATAAAACTTGAACGAGTTTGGCGAGTTGTACGTGGTACATCGATTTCTTGTTAACGGTTAGCATAATTCTATAGTAGAGAAGGATAAACGGCTGAAAATCTAGGGCAGCCAATATTACCGACCAAAAGCTTGTATAGGAAAGTAGAAAAATAAGTTAAGACGATGTTCAAACGCCTCAAGTCTTAGTATGGTCAGTATGGATAACATCGAGGATTGTATGAATGTAAGGTTCTTTGGAAATGGAGCATTTAATAGTGCGAGAGGAAGCTTAGACGTTTTTGTCGTAAGTACTTTTTCCAATATTTTGACTTATTGCCCGCGACTGATAAGGAGACCACTGTTTAAGTTATAACTGATCCGTATTCACAGATGGACCAAACCAAAGAACAGAAAATTGATTTTAAAGTATAGGTATATTTAAACTGTTTATTTAATTTAGTCGAATATAATGAGCGTATCACAAGATCGGTATTGCACTCTATACTCGCCAATTATGATCCAGTGCCCAACATCACGGATTTTTACTACTGCACAACTAATATTCTAATCACCAAAATATTTTAAAATAATATACCTAGTAGTGTGCTCGTGAATTAAAAATTACTGCATTGTCTGCGCACTTTTTAATTTCCTACTGAACTTTTTATATATTTGTTACTGCACATACGACATACCTAGTGTGTGCTACTGAACACGATTTTAGACCCTGCCATGAACGTACGAATTTGCCTAGAAATCTATTCGACACTAGTAATAGTGGCCTCTGCACCGTTCGTGTGTTAATGTTAATCATAATATTTATGACGATCGTCGAGTTCACGACCTATAAATATTCTTCGGTAAAGACAATATTCGTCGGCAACTACATTGACCTCGATACCCTTTTTTTGCTCCATCTTTTATCGAGGATAAAAAATAAAAATCGATTTTCACGACGTGGTCCAGAGTAGCTCACTGCATAAGGCCATACCATACGATGATAGCCGAAACTTGTATGTAGAAATCTTCCGATAACGAACGAACTAACGACGATCATCGATACTTCTATAATATGTATAGAGATCTTTCGAGAGCACTGGTGATGTCGAATCATCGCGGTGGATGTTAAAGCGATTTACTTGACAATATTTCTATTTGCGAGATGATCATATATTTTGCAGAGCGCCGAGCGAATATAGACACTGAAAAGTACAAAATGCAATCAATTGATTAACGCATAGCTACTAAAGTTTGTTTAAAATGTCGTTAAGAAAACATAAACGTTTGTTTACGCATAATTTGCTAATATTTAGTGATAAAATAAAATTTATAAGTATTATCGACATTTATGTAATAAACTATTACACTGAACTATACGACGTGAGTAAGTATCCTTAAGGTTTTTGAAGGTGAAACTGGAATGACCGTATATATTATCGCACAACAAGTTTACGATCTGGAGAATTGGCTTCTTTCGAAATTGGTTAGTTATACCCTAATTATTACTGGTATAATTGCCAATTGGAACATTATAGGTACATATGACCTATTATATTATGTAACTATATTCTTACACACTTACTTTTGCTTTAAACTCAATAATTTTTTGATTTCGAATAAAATCCATCATAGCTTTTATTCTGCTTATTATTTCTCCAATCAAAACACCATGAATACAAGTAATAATATAGGTAGGTCTATAGCACAGTTATTTTTCTATAAAAATATACAATCCTACGAATAACCCGCTGCAATTTCAACAAATTTCCACAAAAAATCAATGGTTTTCAATGGAAAGTTGGCAAAGGTTGGCAAGTGGGTGCCGCTCTACAGACGTACAGTTGTAGGTGACGAGTGGGTAACACTGTTTAGGACGTATTAAATTTTAATTAAATGATAAATTAATAAATCATTGAGTGCACGAAAAACGATTCTGAGAGAACAGACCTATACAGGGTGATTCAAAATGTATGTTACAATAATATACTGTTACTATATATATTACTGTAACATAAATTTTGAATCACCCCTTTCATTTTTTTATTTTTTGGTTTCAGTTTAGACTTCTTACGAGAAACATTGTTTTACATTTTCAATCCCTAGCTATAAAAATTGAAAATAATTTTCAAATTTTCGGGATTGTGACTGTGACTGCGTATTTTCGATATTTTTTAACCGTTATAAAATGAACGAAGAGGCGTACTATGAGGAACCTTGCATTAAATTTGGGGAAACGATACCGATGTAATAATAACGATAATTATTTGTACTGTCGTTTGTTATTGTTTTGCGGTTACAATAACAACGGCGAGACACAATAATATTATTATTGCTATTACCTGTTATTATTAATTATTTCTATAGACTATAATATTGTATTTTCACGTTACGTACGGAATGCCGATCTAATCCGACAGATGGCGTGTCGCGGCGGTCGACAAGCAGCTCGCCATGAGCCAGCAACGCATCGGCGGGCCACTCACTGTAACAACCGTCTGGCCACCGACTGCTTTAGTGCTCTCTCCCGTCATTCGTCTGTCCGGTGCCGTCTTGGCCGCGTCGTGCGATCAACTCTCTCCGTCCGTGTGCTGTGCGCGCGTGTCCGTAATAAATAATAATAATAATAAACAGTGTGCGTCCGCGACCCGCGCGCGTCATATCATTTCCCGCCAGTGATTTCATTTTATTATTATTTGTTCATAACTTTTTTTTTTTCGTACTGTTTTTAAAATAATATCATCATTACCTATATCGTACTGTGATATAGGTACTGGTCACCTCGCGTTCGCGTTTTTGACTTATAACGACCCGATCGAGCGTAAACAATTTGTTAATACCACGCGACACACGTTCTTGTCATATGAACACATATATTATTTTATTCTAAACAAATCAATCGATCTCGGTCTGGCATTTATTTTTTCAATTTTTTTTTTCTCAAATGACGGTTGTGTGACGGTATTTTAATGCTCGCGGAACGCCGCATACGACCCCGTCGACAGTGCGTACTGCAGTCGAATTTGTGAACAAACAGCGTCCGACGAATGCTACTACTACGATCGCGAGCACAACGTCGTAACATGTTCATAGCCATGACCATGTATTTGTTTCTCGGATTGGATGTGTTCGTCGTAGAAAGTATGTCGGTGACCGCACAAAAAATTTTCGAAGTTATGGATAGCGGCAGTGATAAAATAATATACCTGGTTGGCAAGAACACAATTTATTTTGGCTTCGCAATTCTTCTTCTTCTCCTTTTAGCATTAATGTTTTATAAAGTTGTCTGTCAAACTATATTTTATGAACCCGATAATTCGACCACGGTCCCCCAGACGGACGAACAAAGACACGAACAGCAACCGCAGGAGTCGACCACCACCACCACCACCACCACCACCACCACCAACACCACCGCAACCAAACGTGAGTGTTTCTAATGTCTCTTATTTCTATTCGTATTTGGTCACCCACGCGGCCGGATGGTAGGTGGGTTTTTAGTTTAGTTGGTTGGCGGGCTATTGGCCAGGTGTACCCGTGTAGGTTAATAGCGCGCGCGTCTGGTTTTGTGTCTGGAATTCGATCGTTTCCGGTTCGCCTCCGGGTAGGTCAGCTGCAGCAGCATCATCGTCGTTGTTCTTTACGTTACCTACCCATTACTATTATTATTATTATTATTATAATACATGCAGTGAATCTCTCGTCCAATAGGCTGCTGGATACCGTTTTTTATCTCTCCCGCATTCCAGCCCTCCCTCGCCTCAGCCTAGATTTATTGTGGATCGATCGCTCATACCGCCATCGGTACCTGTTACGCGCGTACCTTTATACCGTAGGTACGCAGTGAAATAAAAACTCTTTGTCACGCGTACGTCAAGGGTGTCCCAAAATAGCGTCTTCCGCGTGCGATAGTATACTAGAGAAGATACTTTGTGAAGGGGTGACCGAGTGTATGTGAGAGGGGGGACTAGACGGAGAGAGAGCTAGTGAGTGAGTGAGCGAGAAGGAGTGAGAGTGATCTAGAGAGAGAGTGGGTGAGAAGAGAGAGCGCGCGCGCAAACAACAAGAGAGCCAGTAGGCAGCTGCTGCGTCGTCGACCGCCTCGAATAGGGCTTCTAAAAATAATCCCGACGCACGCATATTGTACACGAACGCCGAGCCGGTGGTTTGATCGTAAACGCGTAGTGTGTTGGTAATACTCGACGAGCGCGGTTACAATATTTTATGCATATTTTGGAGATCTTCGAGAGCCCCGTCTGGTATTTCAGGCCCTCCCACATTTTTCAAGACCTTCAGTGTTCGTCTACAAAAACAAAAACGTCCTGCATAAAATAATGTGTTTAATAATAATCTTATAATTGTAATAATATTACTCGATTTTTGTGTTTCCTGTCTTTTAAGCTGCGGTCGAGTTTTTCGGAAATCGTCACGTTTCTATAATACGCAGGCTCGACGGATAGGTTAGTTCAAAAATCAAATGTACAACTCACATTAACACGGCTCAGACGCGCTGGCCATATCGTTGCTCCGTGAAACCGTTTTGCCTCGAAAACTCGACCCTCTCACAGTCTCACCGTTCGCGCGTGCAGGTCTCTCGACGACGCCGTCGCTACCAAACCCCTCGGCAACTCTGCGGGGTGTGTTGGCAGAGGCGCATCAAGGGGGGGGCAAAAGGAGCAGTTGCTCCAGGCGGCAGGAGCGGCCAAATAATTAAGGGCGGCAAAAAAAAGTCATAATATAGTGCCGTTTGTATTATAATAAAAATAAAATATTTAGGTAGTAGAATAAATATTAATTATTTTAGTTTAGATACGAATTTACGACGTCACTTGTCGGAATATCTAAAATCATAATGGAATCTAATATTAGAACTATTGGGTACTTATTGGGAGAGAACGCTGTTTATGGACTTTGTTTGGGTAATATCCAGAACGTACGTATAGTACGTATATTTTTAATATTATCAGTTATCACCATTCACTACATTTATTATATTGACATGTTATAGCCGCCGCGTTGCCGGCATATAATGATGCCAAGTACTGAGACTGTAGTTGTTCGATTATAATATTTAATATTGTTAAAACTTTTATCGTTATAAATTAAAATTGAAGAAAAGACATTTTGATGATTCAAATTCTGTAGATACTGTACGTCTGTACATCATGGAGAGGATAAAATGATGAATGATACTTTTTATGTTATAATTGACACTTTATCTTCGAATTTATGTGAAAGAAAAAAAGCATACATAAATGTCCATTCAAATTTTGGATTCTTAAGTAATTTAACTAATTTAGATTCTTTGACACTGCGAAGGAAGGCATTGCATATTGTAAATATATACAACCAAGATATAAAGATATAGACACATCATTTATTGAAGAAATAGTCCAATTTAAAAAAATTGCTATTTCATTTTCAAAAGAAGATTTAACAATAAATGGTTTATTCACAAAATTATCTAATTCCCCTTTGGCATTGACTTTTCCTAATGTTTTAATTGTCTTAAGGATATATGCATGTATGCCATGTTCCAACGCAAGTGGTGAGCGATCATTCTCTGTTCTCAGAAGAATTAAAAATTACCTACGATCAACACTTTCACAAGAAAAAACATCTTCCTTGACACTATTATGCATTGAAAATGATATTCTCAGAAATATAGACTGGTCTGATACAATTCAAAAATTTTTATCAGTAAAAATACGCAAGAAAAACTTTAAATAAAGCTAAATAATAATAATAATAATAATTAAAAGACATAAATTATTTATTTTTGTTTTTTCATTTCCTATCTATATTATTTATTTATACGAGAAATAACAAAAGTTTTGAATTTGGTTATTTATTTGGATAATGTTATTGTTATATAATATTTAAACATAGTATACCTAATTGTTTAGTTGTTTATCATGTAAATTTATAGCTAGGTACACTAGGTACAGAAATAGAATATTCCATGAGACATGAGTTTGATATGTACTATGTAGACATGTAGTGTATGTAATAATTTATTAATTTGTATAAATTGTATTTGTGTAAAAGACAATGTATACCTATGTGTAGCAAGAGTATATGACCAAGAGTTCAAGAGTAAGGATATAGTTTTTTTGTAAGTCAATTGTTTGTGTAAAATTGTTTGAGCGTAGCGAGAAAAATTTTTTTGCTCATTTATTTGTAAAAAAAAGGCTTATTTTGAATTAGGGGCGTCATATTTATGTTTGCTCCCCCATGCAGTGTCCCTTAATACGGCCCTGTGTGTTGGAGTGGCGGGGACGATAGAAGAGAACAAAAAAAAAAAAGAGGGTTCCCGTGATGGGGTCTCGGAGCGGCGGGGCTGATGAAATATTATGGTGTTTTTACTGCGCAGTAAAACAACCCAAGGCCAACGTGTTTCGGTCCCTCGGAACGCATCGACGACGAAAGGACGCGAAAGAATTCGTTTCTCAAACACACTCGTATAATAAAACGCGTTTTTATATATTATGCTGCTGCTGTTGTAGTTTCTAAAGATCTCCGCAGTCGTTACTCCGGTCCGACTGCTTTTGTTGTACCATTTTCATCCGAGAATTGCCACCCACCTCGATACTTCCACGTAGGGATTCGACTACCCGAAACAAGGTGTATTGTTGTTGTTATTATTATTATTATTATTATTATTGTTACTGTTTTGGGTTTTTGACTCCTCGGGAATTTTGTTCATGTGTGCACGTTTTGCTATGTATCGTCGTCATAACATAATTTTGTTATACCAAACCATGAATTTATGTTTATTTTCTAGTTCTTTTACTCTTGAATAAATAAGAAAAATAACCATTAATAATAATATATTATATATCCGGTGTAGTTAAGTATTTTAATGGTATATAATTGTAAATACTTATATATATGTATTTAATATTACTAGGTACCTGTAAATAATAAATAATATTATTATAATTATTTTTATTCAGCTCTGTTTAGAGACACTATCAATTATCACAATGATTAGGTACAATCATTCAAAACGTTTTTCTTACCTATTTAAAACAAACTTACACTTTTAAAATGTGCCAACTTAGTCATATATTTATGTAATACAATATACATATTACAATAATATTTTGTTCCTTGAGTGTAAATAAAAACAAATTATTATATGGCTATTTTTTCAATGCTATACATAAAAGATAAGGCAAATATTTTGTGTATTTATGGAAATAAATTTAGCATTAAGTAATTAGGTACATACTACTAATGGTGTAATATTTACTCCTAAAATATTTACACCTAAAATGTAGGTAGGTACTTAAAAATCACATGTATATTATGATGAACACTCACGACGATATACTCTGTTAGAACACGTGTGAGAAGTGAGATCACTGCGCGATGGGAGGGGATAAAGCAAGACTATAACATATTCCCTTCTTTCCTCGTGCTATTAAACAAATAATTAAGCAATATTCAAAACGTAGTAAATTATATTCTCTGATTTATCAGTTTATCACTAATATATACAAACCTATTATATTTAAATGCAAATTTGGTATATTAGAAAACATGCCTATATTTTGTTTTAAATCTCTGTAACTCCATAATGTTATTAATATTCTATATTACTTATCGCCATAACAATACGTCCATTATTCTATTTTGACTGTTAAAACTTCAAACATAAAAATGTATAATAATAATAATATCGACAATTGTATTACTCTATTTCAAAAAGAACAGTCTAACGAAAATTGGATTTCGATTGGTTTAGATTACACTATTAGATGAATAGGTAATCATTTTTAGAAGAATAATAACCTTACCTCGTGAAATTTTAAGTGTAAAATGTATGCAGAAATTTAAAAACTGATAGTTGTTAAATTGCTTATGATATTAGCACACTAAAGAGTTCGATAAAATCATTTGTGAAAAAAAAAATAAAAAAAATAACAACGCTTTCCGAGGTTTACTTTAAATTTAAATCATCACGTATTAAATATTAATTAGGTGCTTACGTTAATAATAAGTTATGTGAGTGCGTGAACGTGTTTTTACCACCTTTTTTATAGGTATATTCTTAATATACTTTACACCGCTCTTGAAATCGCGGACTGGGGGCTATGCAGTAATGCAGTATGGCCAGACTGATACTGTGTTTCTACTCTATGTATTATATAATTACGTTTGAAAGTGATCACCAAGAACAAAATATTGTAACAATAGGTAGCCCGCAAAAAAAAAAAACAAGGTCACATGGAACGAACAAATTTTTAACTGCAGGCCTTAAGATCTATCGAAACGTACCTACCGATAATCGAACGTACCTACCTATATTTAATAATCGTCTGTTTGACCTAAAACGCGCTCGTCGCACAAACTTTGATTAGGTAGGTAATAATAATATTAAGTATTATAACGTATATTTGTGAGTCCGACGACGAGTTCCG